AGCAGTGGTGGGCAACGAAAGAAAAAGAGATGGAAAAGGCGGCGGCTATAGGGAACACAAGACAACTCTACAGACTAATAAAAGAAACTGGAATTAATAAGTCAAGTGTAAGTCAGACTATTTCGGAAAAAGACGACACTCTCATCTGCTCCCAGTCCAGACGTTTAGAACGATGGGCGGAACATTTTAAGGAGCAGTTCAGTTGGCCTTCAGCTACTCTACAACTACCCTCTATTCCCAGACAGTATGAATGGAACATTGAAGTAGGTCCTCCAACTCTAGCTGAAGTTCAAAAGGCTATAGCTAATCTGAAACGAGGAAGGGCAGCTGGTCCAGATGGATTGGCCCCAGAGGTCTTTAAGGATGGTGGTCTAGTTTTAGCGATTAGGTTGACTAATATTTTAGCTAAAATCTGGGAGTTAGACGTTATCCCATCTAACTGGTCACAATCACTTATCGTCCCAATATTTAAGAAAGGGTCAAAATCATCCTGTGACAACCACAGAGGGATTAGTTTAACTAATATAGTATCTAAAATACTAGCCTCGATAATTTTCGGACGCCTAACTAAGACTCGTGAGCTGCAAACACGTGAAAATCAGGCTGGCTTCAGACCTGGTCGTGGCTGCATCGACCACATATTCACCATTCGTCAGGTTCTAGAACACAGGCATACTTATCGGCGTCCGACAATAGTGGTCTTCCTTGATTTAAAAGCAGCGTTTGACTCTGTTGACCGAGAGGTTCTGTGGCAGTGTCTGTCATTGAAAGGCGTACCTCAGAAGTACATAAACCTTGTGAAGACTCTTTACTCGAACACTACTAGTCGAGTGAGAGCTTATGGCGAACTGTCATCTGCTTTCGCAACCTCAAGTGGCGTCCGCCAAGGCTGTCCACTTTCTCCATTTTTGTTCAACTTCATCATAGATCTACTGATGGAAATAACGCTCTCATCGACTGAATTCTCGAGTATTGATCTCCTATCAGGAGGTCCACTTATTGACTTAGAATACGCAGATGACAGTTCTGTTTGGTGAAGACGCTGATGAAATGCAGAGTCTTTTGGTAGCACTGAGCAACAATGCCAGAATGTTTGGGATGCGCTTCTCTCCCTCCAAATGCAAGTTGTTGCTTCACGACTGGTCTGCGTCAACACCTGAACTAAGGATAGGGAGTGAGGTAGTCGAACGTGTAGACAACTTCACTTATCTTGGAAGTCTGATCAGCCCTAATGGGTTGGTGTCTGACGAAATCTCAGCACGGATTCGAAAAGCTCGTTTGGCCTTTGCCAACTTACGTCATCTATGGCGAAGACGAGATATCCGTCTATCAATTAAGGGACGAATATACTGCGCGGCAGTTCGTTCCGTTCTACTATACGGCTGCGAAACTTGGCCTTTAAGAGTAAGTTACTAGTATTTGACCACAGGTGCCTTAGAAATATTGCGGGTATCTGCTGGGATCACCGGGTAAGTAATAGTGAGGTTAGACGCAGGGTATTAGGGAATGATGGTAAATCAGTTGATGAGGTTATGAACCTTCATCGACTGAGATGGTTGGGCCACGTGCTGCGTATGTCTGAACACCGATTACCGCGACGCGCAATGGTAACCGGTGTTAGGGATGACTGGAAGAAAGTTAGGGGCGGCCAAACCAAAACGTGGCATCAGTGCTTGAAGTCACTAACTTCTGGTCTGAGCCATGTTGGTAGATGCAGACTACCTGGTTGGGGTCCGCGTGACTATCGTAACCAATGGTTGGAGACTCTTGGTGACATGGCTCAGAATCGATCACAATGGCGTCGGTGTATACACTCTCTGTCTTCCTTTAAACTAAGAGATTAAAATCACTTCAAATCTTTCTTTCTACGAACTAATTCTATCTTCCTGTACTATCTCCTTATATGCAATCTTTCTTCTATATATTACCACCACTGAATTAACTACTTCTATGAATCCGGTGTTCATCTTGTTGTGCTAATACGGCATGGTAACTTGGACCGATGCATATACGTGCCTGGTCCTACGTTGCAGCTGACTGACTGACTGACTTCCAGTACGGGATTTGAATCGATAACTGAATTTCTATGCTAATGTGGTATGGCAACTCGAACTGATGTACGTACGTACGAAGTTCCACGTTGCTACTGACTGACTGATCAGTGTTTCGGCTGGAATGTTGTTAGGTCCTGCTGCTTTCCCACCCTTGATTTGTCTGATGACCAGTCATCCCGATTTCTTCGATCGTTGATGGAGTGACATCTATAGGAGGGTCTGTAGGTGCTGCTTGATTATCCGGTGGATTCAATGGAGCTGGCCAATTCAAGAGTTCTTCAAAGTGTTCTGTTCTTGAATCTCAGTGATTGTCTTGCCTTCTTCGTCCTTGACCGGTCTCTCTGGTTTACTACATTTTCCTGCCAGTTTCTGTGTTTTCATATGGTCTTCTGATGTTTCCTTCTCTTGCAACTCTTTCCCCTGTCGTTGCTAGATCTTGCACGTATTTCTACTTGTCAGCTCTAATAGTCCTCTCCACTTGCTCGTTTGCTTCAGAGCATTCAACTTGTATCTTGACTTTCTCTGTTCTTGTTCGGCTCTCATTAATTGCTGTCTTCTTGTTCTTCATTTCTTGAATCATGGCCAGGATTTCGATCGAGATGCATTCTTCATGATGCTTCTTGAGGCTCAGAACCTCCCGGCACGTTGGAGTTGGTGCGTCTTTGATCCTTTTCTAGTTATTCTTCATAGTAGTTTCCTTTTATTTGAGATCTTGTAAAACATGGAATAAATACATGTGGTAAGTTTTCGAAAAAATCGTCTTCCTCTCTGAACACTAGATAATAATAATAAGCTTATTTAAATATATAAAGTCTAAATATATGATTGGACAGAATTCAAGGCTACGCACATCTAGACATTTGACGGCTATAACTAAATTAGATGGGCAAAAGCGACCATCACTTTTAAGAATTAATGTTATTTCGTTTTGTAATTTCACAATACCCTAATTGTTGCCACACAAAGCAACTAATGGACATTCGGATGGGCCACATACAGAAATCTGTTGCTAAACCAACATTTACAGGATATACTTGGATAGCACTTATTTACTAAAGCATCTATCAGATGTGGCGAAGTTAAACAACTACTGTCGTTTAAATCAAGGTTCTAAAAATATGTTGTACCAATAAGATATTTAGCTAACATCGGGATTTTAATTAGGCAGTACATCAAAGTTTATTAACTGCCTCCAAATGTCTTGGTACGGCTGAGGGTGGGAAGAGTTTACTCTACCTCTCCAAATGATCTCACACGGCCACGCGTATACAGCCACTGTCAGGGAGGTCCTACACACTTCTCTCGGTCGGGGTGTTTACGAAATTGAAAGGACAAAAAGAGAATGTCCGGCGCTTTAGCCGGGTTGGTGGACATGGAGGACCCACCTAGGGGATTCGGAAAGCCCTGATTCCAAACCCATGGTGCACATGGGCTCCAGGATCCTGAGGGAACAAATGGCATATGAACCAATTATTGGTCATCAGGTTCCATGGGACTATATCTAACGTTGCTCTACTGCCTTGTGGTTTAGACCTCTAAGTCAAATGCTCGGAGAGTGCCCTCCTAAAATAACCTGCTTCGGTTTGAACACCCGGGCAGTATCACAGAGCTCAAACAAACCAATGATAACTGCTACTGGCCTCATTGTTATTGTGTGGCGCATATTTGGTACTCCTTCGTACCAATGTTTATGTGTTTAAATAAAACTTATTTTATAGGAAACGACTTACTAGGTATTATAGAATCAGTCTAAACTGGCAGTCATGTAAACTGTCTTTTTACTCATGAGTCTTTTCGTTCTGCAATGAACCGTACTTCAAGCTGTTATTAAAGTTCTCATAGATACACTTAAGTTTCACATCTTAAGATACTAAACAAGGACATCTATCACTTAAAATATGAACGACGTAGTTCTTGCACTATTGTTAAAATAGACAATTCGTCACGCCATATTCCTCATAATAAACAGTGTGAAATGCATGAATATGGAGAATGTATTTACAAAACCCGTGTTAAGCAGTCATATTGCTTCCCGATTACGTGACTTAATCCGATTACTCTTATGGATCATTCTAGTCTATAAAGACTCGTTAGGGGACAGCTGTAAATCTATTGGAATACTACTTAGCTATAGAAAAATTACACATTCATCGACTGGATCCTATCATACAGCGTCTACAGAAATATGTATAGAATTAGCACTCACGCATTAACCAATAGGTAAAGAGAAATTACAGGTTACGGAATGATGTTTGGTTCACTCGGAAACAATAATCCTACAAAGATAACATCGACATAGCTAACTTAGTAGCTAATTATACTATACGGTAAATCATTTGAAATTGCTCGGTTGAAAGACGGAGTTCAATTTTAGGAATCAAGTTATTTTGAATGTTCTTGCAGTTGAGCTACCCACTGAAATATACTACGTGCTTTCTAGCAAATACCCTACTATTGCATAAAAAACTACAAATAGTACATTTTATCACTAACAGTTACGTGTTATTTCTATCCAATTTTTTCATGAAAACTACTATAGACAGCTATAACCAACAGTTTTTCGGTGGTTAGTCATCTGAAAACTCAATTGACTAGAAATACACAGGTGACATAATGTAGCTGAAAATCACTGCTTGAGAGAATCTCCCAAATATCCCAGTTGAAAATGCCTGGATTTCACTTCGCACCATCCAAAAATAAGTGACTATTTATCATAAACTGAAACTATAGGATCATTATTTGCTGAAGTACCCAGATGGACCAGAACAACTCTGTTGATCTATTCACCCATGAGTTGTTCAACGTTCAGTTGTCCAAGTAAAGACGAGCGATGATGAATTACGTTTTCGACAACAATAGAAGGAGGGAGTTGTTATTTAAAAATACTTTTTATAAGTTCTTATTATCCGAATGTAAAGTAGTAAAAGTAGAGTACAAAACACAAATGATATACAAAATATCTATTAATATAAAGGAAATAAATACCTCGGAGTAGATCCGGCTGGAAAAAAATATTATAGGCAAAAACAAACGGTAAAAAGGTATAAATGCATATATATAGAACTATTAAATTTTATCTTCCCTTTGATGTGATTTTAGTTGTTTAATCCAATTTTTCGGGGTACCGTGATACAAATGTAGGAACAGAAAATTTCCGTAAACATCCTTTATAGTTCATATATCGTATTTTACCGAAAATAGGTCGTTCAGGCCAGCCTTGATCATGAACACCACATATTGCCCACATAATACCTATGAGGGAAGAGAAAAGTCTATATTATGTTTCCTTTTTTTAAGTTCAGTAGTTTCTTACAGTATACGACTGACTAAACCATGTAAGTAAACGTAAAAATGGACCAGGAATTCATAATTATATGTATTAAACTAACCAACGTATCCATTTGGATCTGTCCCATCTAAACTGTAACGATCGTTTAAGTATATTGCTATTTGAATAGCCGATTCTGGACCCTCTGCGCACCACTCAAGTATCTTTTTGGCCCAATACTGGCGCAGAAACCAATGCATCTTGCCCTTGAGCACTAATTGACGTTGGGCTGCATTCCATAGATCGTCATTAGTTTGGGCAGTTTCCATCTGGGTTTTACTGTACGCTGGATCTCGTTTATCTGTTGAGTGTGTCATAAGTGATTCACGTGCCCAGTCAAGTGCACCTACGTAATAATCAGAAAAAACAATTTGTTAACATTATTCAAATATCTGATAACGGCATACACTGACGTTTAAAACTTTAATTATTGTTAACACTTCGTATTTTATGTTCAATGACTATTAATAATAAACGTCTAAAAATCAGTGACCAATATTTACATCCTTAGAAAATTATTTTCCTAAGACATTTGACTATTTTTTCTCTAATTAAAAATCATTTCAAATGTGACTCGCTTTATGCCGATTCACACACATTATCTGCTAACATAATTATGATTTTTTGTTCATAACATCAACATTCATGAGAAAATTCATCAAAGACTTTCCACAAGCTGATCACTACTCAATGGACCGGTTTCAACTTATGGTTGACAGTTTCTAACTCTTAAGTAATATTTTTATATTTTAACAGTTGAATTCATGAGCCGATCTAAGATGGACCACCATTGAAAACCTGGAAGCACTTTATAATTTACCATACGATTGTTGATGTTTAAATAAAGTAGTCATTGTGTAAGTAGTACACGGTCGTTCTTTATTTAATAATAGACAATGTACAAATTTGCATAAATTTATTTCCACTCAAATTACACGATATCTTTGTTATTATTGATGGTAAAGTTGAATTTAGCGACAATTGTGTAAACTGAACGATTCAATACGTCACTAATTACTCCTACTGCTAAATTTTTTTCTTGATAACGTTTTGCTACATTGTCGTTAATTATATCGTGCCAATATATATATATATATATATATATATATATATATATATATATATATATATATATATAATTACACAAAAAATAGCATACCTTTAATCGAATCATAGAAAGGTGTATGGAAACAAAAATTATCAGCCAACTCTCTTCTGTTAAAGCATTCTTCAATGAAGATATCGGCCGATCGTCCAAAGTGCTTTTGAACAGCAACTACTTCAAGAACAGCACGCTGAGGAGCGATTTGACCTTAAAATAAAATCAATAGTATACTACTCTGACGCAACAGACTATTGTGTTAAATTACCATAATTCAAAGTATCGACAGTAGACGAAAGCCGAAATACAAGAAGTAATGAAAAATGTCCACAGCTTAGACAAAGTGAAAATAAAAAATCATTCGGATGAAAATTTTACAGGAAAAGCTTTGGTTGAATTTCATGCACATTTTCCAATACAAATGGATAGCATGATTAATTAAGCTCACTAACCAAAATGTAACCAAGGTGACAATCCGCTAAGAGCTGGATGAGCAGGGTCATTTCTATGAGGGTCGAATTTTTTTAAACGTTTGCCGATAAATTCGTATAGATTTTTTAAACCAGCTTGAGTTCCAGGTACAGCCCAGTCCACAGGTTTCACACTTTTGTCACCAACATAATTAGATAAAATTAACTCCCAATTAACAGGCTAGAAAAGTTCAAATGAAAAAACAGTTACTAGAAATTAATCCAATAAAATTGTAGAAACCAACAAGGGTATTTATTGTTAATTTGGAAATTAATTAGAATTTAATTACCTAAAGATAAGCTTCGTAAACAAGTCCCTAGGCCATCTTGGTGTGGCCACAGACAATCTATTAGGCTTGTAAAACTTCATCTTTTTGTAGAAACAAATTAATACAATTGGTGCAAGAAAACCGAAACAACGTATTAAAAGGAAAAAAGGAGGCAACAAAAATGGCACATACTGAGCAGTGACTAGAGGACACAACAAATAAGTCAACGAAGCTTGGTCGCGTTTAGAAAAAATGTACAATCTTGATTGGTGAATGGAAAAAAACAGTCGCACCAAGGTCAGATGAGGTTAAAATAGTTGGTGTTCAGATATTCAAAACGTGAGCCATGTTAGTTTGTCACATAGGTTAGGTGAATAACTATATTCAATTCTTGTACGTGAATTTCAAAGGTATGATATCAGTTAATACAATGTAAGATCAGGCACACATATGCATCAGCCCAAGTTACCATACCTCATTAGCACAAGAAGATGAACACCAAATTCATAGTAGCAGTCACTTCAATGGTAGTAATATACAAAAAAAGATTGCATATAACGATATGACACAGGGAGAGAAAATTTACTCGTGGAAACAAAGGTATAGTAGTTTTAATCTCACAGTTCAAAGGAAGATAAAGAGTATATACACCTACGTCACTATGTCACACAGAGTCTGCAACGTCTAAGAACAATTCCCATACGACAGACAAGACCGACCATCGCATTGAAAAAAAACTAGTCACAGATGAAAATTCAAAAAGAAAGCTGGTGAGAAGACCTTAGAAGTAATTGCCTTCAGTAGCATCTAAAAATAAAGAAAGAGTCTACTGAAAGTACAGAAAAACAGTCTTATTACGAAAACTGAAAGTAGTATAGTGGGCAGATTATTTAATAAATTGAAATAAAAGTTAAAACAAGCATACCGGAGGAAGGACGGTAGTTTCACTGGAACAAGGATGTTTAATAATAGGTGGAAAATCTGTTAGAAACTTCGGAGATTGTTCAAACAGTTTTGATCTGATAGTTCGAGCAGAATACTCTCGTTTTTCTGATCCACACCAAACTGGAACAATATTATGGGCATCAACCTAGTTAAAATAATTAACAATTAATCTATAAGCTAGGACTCTGAAGCTAGTGAAATACAAATGTTTGGCGGAAGGTCGGATGCTACCATTTTTTATAAACGATATTTTACAAAAAGCTCAGCTAATACTACGTATACAGTCACATTAAACAAGAGGCGATAGAGTAACAATTGTGAAAACCTACTACGTAGCATAGGAAAGGAAATTCATAGCTAGATTTCCACTTATCGAATTAACGCCAAACACCTGTAATAAAACGTTTATTATATACATACAGTAAATAATGGGAATTCCATTACTTCAAAAACAAAAGGATAAAACTAAGTAAAACCAATAAACAAAACATTTAGAACTCGTTACATCACGTTTCCTATTCAATAAATAATACTGTTTTACTACACAATACATACTATATGAGTCAGTACGTTTAAAGAATCAGACTTTTCTGTATCTTAATAAGTGCCATTTGTAACGTGATTACGTTGTCGTCTATCAACCCTTTAACGCCGCGGTACGCAAAGATGGAACGAGTTTACTCCTCAACTCAAAATATTCCCACAAAACCACATGTTTATAACCTCTACATGAATAGTCTTATTCACCTTCTTCACATAAGGGTACGATTACAAAAAGTGAAAAGGCGGATGTCCGGCGTGTGGACCTAAATTGGTAGTTATAAAAAATCGATTGAGGAACCGAACAACATTGAAAAAATATTAGTGGACATCGGCTTCAGGATCCTAAAGTAACAAGTGACATATGAACTGATTTTAATCATACGCTACCATAGGACTGTATTTCTTGACATTGCTCTAGTACATTGTGGATTAGACCCTTAGGTTGAAGGTTAGGGAAGTGATACTCCATGGGAAAACCCACCTATTTAGGTTTAAGCGTCTAAGGAGTACCCCATTCAAAAATGTATGATCAGTTGATTCCTTTGAGCATGTAATAAACACTTGATTATCATTTGTTAGGAAGCAACAATGAAATAACTACATAAATTTAAAACCAAAATTTCTATATAAATTAAGAAAACAACTTTTATACACAGAAGTCTTACTTCACAAAAAGGGATATTATTAGGTAGTTCATCAATAACTATTTTTACCCATGTACGAGGTGCTCTTAAAGGACAGAAGTCTGTGACCAAACATCCAACATTCAATAGCTTTGCCAAACCAACAACCGATTTTGCAACACACGTTTCATAAAGAAAATTTTTTTCTATTTGATCAGTTTGATTAAATCGAGCATTTTCATCGGACCATCTGTGCTTGCATCCAGAAGATACATCTTCAGGTCTATCAATTTGATTGGAGGTAATCAATAAATGAAATGGGATATTCAATGAACGACATTCCTATGAAGGAGAAACCAACAGAGTCTTCATAGATAAAACGTAATAAATTTATTTCACTCTTAACGAAAATCTGGATGAATGCACAAACATGGAAGCCAAAACTAGACTATATCTTTATAATGTGTTGCACTGCGAGTTAGCATTTATTAAACCAAGAATAGTAACATTAAGATATTGGGTATAATGATAATGAGCCAACATTTCTAGACTGCTTAGTTATAAAAAATCTAGTACAAATCTGGACCTAACAATCTGCCGTAGACCAAGACATTTACATTGAAATATACATTTTAAATCCACACATCTTGTCAGTGTTAAACGTTGTATTGCTCTAAGTATATTCATTGAAAATACTAAACTTGTCACACTAGAAGAACTTAAAATAATACGGGTTTTGCAGTTTAATGATTTTCTTGTAAATGTCACTTAAAATATCATAAATTGCTCCGCCTCAAGCCTTTCTGAAGCTACTGACAATCCCAAATCCGGATAAAGGAGGAGGGTTGGACATGAGGGTTAGCAACCGCATTCAATAAAAAATACCCTGAAAACACATGCTGTCCTGAGAGCTGAAGGGTTTCCACATTTAAAAGTTATGACGCCTTAAAGTGAAAGCCGAAATTCTTTAGAAGCCACGGGGTCGATATATCTACTGGCAACCAGAGCAAATATTAGTATAGGCACATGAAATGTCCGCGTTATGTATGAGACCGGGAAAAACCGTTCAAATAGCAGCAGAAATGAAAAGATACAACCTTGCTTTGTTTGGAATAAGTGAAACCCATTGGACCCAAGGTGGACATAAAGGACTAGCTTCAGGATAGGTGTTGTACTCTGACCATGAAGAAAATTCGTCACACACACAAGGAGTTGCGCTGATACTACGAAAAGCGCTTATAGGATGAGAATTCCATGACTTCAGGATCATCAAAGCATCCTTCAAAATAAGGAAGAGACTACAATAAACACCACCCAGTTCTATGTACTCACCGATGATAGAAGCAAAGATGATGAAAATTATATTTACGAGGCTGCAATTCATCGTGGGGAACTGTCTAGAAAAAACCTGACCATCCCGATGCGAGACCTAAACGCCGAGGTTGGGATGGACAGAATATGGTAGGATAACATCTCTGACTGTGAAGCTGGGTGACACGGGATCGAATCTGTCAGGGAGTACAGGTTCCCTCAAGATCACAGGCACACCGTGCTGACGAGTGCCAAGTAGCACGAAACCCGGGTCCAGAGTTTCCTGTTGACTACCTCCAACCACCATCTTATCTCAATATAGTGCACGCAGTGTCGAGTCACCTAGACTGGTGGCCACATCGCAACTTGGTCGACAGCATTCGATCTACACTAAGGTCTTGACACGCATGACATTGATCACCACCCACTGGTCAATCAATTGTGAAGTTTATGGAATCTTCTTCGGCACTATAAAGTAGTTGGGAATCGCTTTAGTAAGGAACCAGATTGAGTTTATATAAGCTTTCTAGTTAAATACTACTATTCTCGTGACATCTGTCAACCAGTTTAACACTAGTAATTTAGTAGCAACATGACATTGATGACAGGATTATATTAAAAAATAAACAATATTTTGTACATGAGAAAAGCCAGTCACTTAGATGACATCAGATGACGGATGTTTAGGTAAGAAAGAACGACCATTGGTAAATCAAAACATCTCTTATTACAAGTTTACTTCTGAGTCCATAATAATCAAGTAGAATATTTAATGTACACTATATGTACGAATCGAAAACAAATATGCTTATATGAATACAGATGAACTTACTAGTTCTACTTCAGTCAGTCCACCAATCATAAATGCAAACTGTCTCAAAGTATCAGCTTGGTAAGCAGGAACCAAACAAAAACATACTTGCAGTGGGACTTCGAATTTGATTGCCAGACGTTGTGCATAGATAAAAGCCCAGTTATCTAGTGTTCGATAAAACAAAAACATTTGATTGTAGGTAAAAGGAACAAGCAAACCGTATAAACTGCACAACAGATTTTAAAACCCATTTCAACAACTGATTAAATCACTCATCTGGGTGGCGTACTATAGGCAACACTATGACAGGCACACTAAAGATGGATTAATTTCGGTGCAGCTAAACTAAAAAATAATAAAACGTATCACGAAAACGATGGAAACAACTTAGACTGATTAATCAAATTTGCATTTACCAATCTTCTGATAATCTAGTGGCGAACATGATACTAATACATCATTTGGGTATGTAGAATTAACAGGTAATTTACGGCACCTGAGATTTTCTGACATGATAAACATACTGAGTACCGGTTAAATTCATAATACTCATCACACGATGAGACTTTAGTCAAGAGATGACCTGACCATTAAAGGTCTGGGACCACTCATATATAATACTAAAGGGTAGTGGCTGTTTTGCAGAAACGTGGTAAGATACTACCTCTGGTAGTCAACATTTTAGGGTTCCTGTACTCTGTTGTAATGACTAATCATAGGGGGAAATTACCAATAGTTGAGTTCAATGATTAGGTTTGAACACGTCACAACACTATAGGGCTTAAATATACATATGTATAGGGAAGTTCGAGAAAAATTAGTGAGAACTGAGTGTCTAAACAAATTCATGTCAAGTAAATAACACGAAAGAAAAGTAAATACCCAGCTTTTAGTTGGAACCGATCTTTGATTAGATTGTTAGTAAAACAGGACATAACGCTATATGGCTTTGGCAATCACACATATCAACTTAAGTGAATCTGAACTGAGCAACAAAAATGGTTCCCTTACTAATTATTAAAACTAAAAATCCAAAGAACTATAACCTTAAATTGCATTACCCTGAACTCGTTGATCACGTGACATCCAGTAAAGCACTCCACCCTGTCCGAATTCATCATCTTTTTCAGGGAAAGTGCCTGGCCCAGACAAATGCCTTATTCTTGATTTGTGAAATTTGAAATTTTCAGCAGAACTGGCGGTAGAAAGACGTTTACTATGCACATTCTCAAGCCACTCATGTACTGTTTTAGCCAGTGTAGCCATTCTTTGACTTCCTATAAAGTAAATGAATAATTACTAATGTCTTAAGAAATCCAATAGGAGACTAGCTTATATAAGTGAGTCTCCCAAGTTTGGGGGATTCTGGGTAAATCCCCAAAGTCAAATGACCTTCACCAAAGTTTGGGAAAAAACTCAAACCTTAGTGGAATTTTGGGTATGTCCCCAAAGTCAAATGACCTGGACTAAGGTTAAAGGGGAATTTTGGGGAAATATTGAGGAATTTCCCCAGACCTGGTGAAATTTCGGGGTTTTGGTGCCATTTTCCTAAAGTTTACTGCAGCAGCTTTTCCAAAATTTCCCGAAATGGGTCGAATTTTCCCCAAAATTGGAAGCTCGGGAAGTAGCTAGTAGTTTAAATGAAGACTATAATTCATGGACGACCTTTGGGCGAAGCTAGACTGACGTTGAGAGTGTTCACTTAGTAACTAGTCCAAATGAAGTTTATAAACCTGTGTGAGGAACTATAATTATAATTTACAGTTGATGAGTAAGGCTAGAAACTAGATTTTGGGTTTTCATTACAAACTGACATTAGCTATTATTTCGAAACTATGTTTACCCAAATGGATGAATAATTTCCCGCTAATATCCGAGATCTTTTATTTTATATTTGATTTGTTCGTCCACAAATTATAGTCTCACCGTTTAAACTACTAGCTACTTTCTTTGCGGACTAGATAAGTTCGACCTATGCAGACTGATTTATGTCTTACAATTACGTTAGACCACAAAAAGTTTCTCTCATTTTTATAAGGAAACGTGAGAACTCCAAGAGGGGTTGTTATTCGTTAGCGTCAGTCACGCGCCTCCCAAGGCCAAATTAAGCATTTCAAGGGCAGTATATCGTGTTACTTGAAAGACGCTGTTTCAAAATTCAGTCTTCAGGAGGTCTATCGACCTATATTAATCTTGCAGTTTGTAATACTGTAGAGGTCCAGTCTCGTTTTGAATATATCAACAGAAGGTGCTGATATTACGTGTTCCGGTAGAGAATTCCAGTAATTTACTACTACGAAACTCCAGACGTAAACGATTTGACCTCGGCTTTTGAACTTTCTTCGAATGTCCTCTCAAATGATCAGTCCTAGAGGGAAGTAAAAGACATGTTAATACCAAGGTCGCCGTTCAGTATACGATAAGCCAATACTACGTCACGCCGTATTCTACGGTAAGATAACGGAAATAAGTAAAAGTGTCTCAGTCTGTCATCATAAGATTGGCCAGAAAGACCTTGTACCATCTTAGTTACTCGTCGTTGGACTCTTCCTAGAATATCTGCTTCATACTTGAAACGAGGACTCGCTGCTTGAATCCCATACTCCAAATGTGGTCGCACGTAAAGAGTGTATAATAATTTAAACATTCCAAAATCTAGATGCTGGAAGGACCTACGAATAGACCATAACACCCTACAGCCTCTCGCAGCACCAGCCTTACACTGAATGTTGATTTTGATATCAAACCTGGAACATTTCCGGGTGAAAATCTGGCTAGCAGTTGCACGGGGGTGTTGAGCACGGCGTTCTCACTCGCGGTCTAGTGCAGATGAACGACTGAGTGCCTTCAGTTAGATGGGTCCATTAAAACTAATGTGGTCGGCACCCAACGTCGAAGAATTACAGAGCTATTTGTTTTGGGGATCTACTTACCGCTACAGACCTCTCCCTACTAGTATTGTAATGATGACCCTAAGACGTGGCTAGCCAGAAGTTTAAACTCAGCTAGTTTGTCGTTAGTAAACACTCTTCATCATCTCGTTGTCTTTCATTACTATAAGGGACCATGTAGTACAATATAGTAATAAAGAAACAAGGTGCAATGAAAATTTCGGTTCAACGTAAACTTCGTTGTTCGTTTTATCGCCTTTTTCAGACGTCCTGGAAAAGAAATAAATGATGTGTAAGTACATGTCGAATTACACTCATATGTGCGTAAAGGCACAAAGCGGGCGAAAAAAGGAAAATAAACGCATTCACATACGATAGCGTATAAACGATTTTTACAAAATGGTGTTTTTTTGTTTGTTTTTTTTCAAAAAAAATTAATATATATATATTAGCGGGCATGTTGGCAAAAAATTTTTTTGAAATAAGTATATAAATATAAGCACATTAAATTGTTTTTTTACATATGTGATGCAAAGAAAAATCGAAACGAAACAAATAGTTAACTAGTGTCTTACGTGCAATTATTGTTTAAACGTTCTGGAAACCTCACTCTTCTCTCAGAATGCATCGTTTGGATTGTTTTCAGATACTGACACGGTATCATCGTGCGTGTTGGTTATCGGATGATGTATCGTAGACGTTGGAGTTGTGTCTTTCGATTGTACCGAAGGACAATCTACGTGGATAGTGTTTCCTTCTAAATACGCTGCTTCAGTGCGGTCGATGCTGATGTTAGTTCCGTTCTTATCGACTATATAGTACTTTGAAGGGTCCTTCGCTCGCTGATCCGAGATGTGAGTCTCGACGTACAAAACGTGCTTACTATATCGTAGGTCACGTTGAATAAAAACATCTGTTGACTGCGGTCGAGTGGAAACAGGTTTAACTGAACGCATTGCGTTTGTAAGTCAGTTTGTGTAGGAGTTTAGATCCTTATTCAATCAAGAAAATGAAGGATCCACGAGTTCTCCTGGAAGTCGGAATATCGTTCCATAAACTAGTTGAGCTGCGATGTATGCAGTGTCAGCTTTCAACGCATTCAGAATATCAAGCAAGATGAGTGGCAGGGCGTCGGTCCACTATGAAACGTTCGCCGCTGATGGGGAAGCTTTTAGATGTCAATGAAGGCATCGTACCAACCCCCTTGCTTGTGAGTGGTAGAAGGTCGTTCGGAATCGTATGATTCTTAATGCTGTAGTCAGACAACGGAAAAGTCCGGATTCGAACTGGCGTCCACAGTCTGCAATGATAGTTGAAGAGCAGACAAAGTTTTCTATCCAACTTTCGACGAAGGCGCAGATCAGTTTCAGCGGTAATATCCTTGATAGGTACTGCTTCTGGCCAACGAATGAGACGGTCTACGCAAGTTAAGAGATAAGAGTACCCATTTGAATATGGTAAAGGTCCTACCAAATCCAGATGAACATGGTCGAATCGAGTATCGGGAGTTTTAAATGAACCTAAGGGACATTTGTTGTGTCCAATCACCTTAGATTTCTGATAGCTTACACATGAGCGTGCCCACTCCCTTACGTCTTTATTCATACCAGGCCAGCAAAATCGTTCTGTTATGAGCTTGACGGTTGCACAAACAACTGGATGAGAAAGTTTGTGCAACGTATTGAAGACATTGCGTCGATAACGTTTTGGCACGATCAGATGATCCCTACCTGTAGATGCGTCACATAGTAAGGTTTCCTTACCTGTTCCTATCTGTTTAATGGGCATTTTTAGGGTTATTGAAGACAACTCGTGCTGAAAATCAGTGACCTTTTTTGAAGGTGGAAGAGTTTAAGAAGGTCGATCCCTTGGAAACTGTTCAGGGAAGTTGTGTGAAACTTGGAGCAAGCAACCGCGTTGCTTGCTCCAAAATGTGTTGAATGTCTGAAGTAAACAGTGAAATATAGTCCAGTTGTTGAGACTCTCGAGGTGAGTATTTGTCTGATGAGCTTAAAGAGAAGGTAAGAGGTTTATGATCGGTGAAAAGAGTGAATTCTCGACCTTCGACAGAGTATAGAAAATGCCGTACAGAGCAATACATAGCTAGGAGTTCCCCACGGAAAGTGCTATACCTGAATTCAGTGTCTAGCAACCGTCTCTAGAAGAATGCCAAAGGTTGCCAGGCGTGATTAACCGATTGTTATAAGACTCCTGCAGTTATTGATTCGGATGCGTCTACTGCGATACTGATGGGTGCTTGGGTGTCCTGATAAGCAAGCATGGTTCTTTTAGCGATAAGTTCATTAATTGTGGAGAATGCTTTCCTCGAGGTATTGTCCAAATCGATGGACTTCTCATTTCCACGAAGTTGGTCAGTTAGAGGTTTCATAAGTAACGCGCAGTCTGGTATTAACCGTCTGTAGAAACTACAAGGCCGAAAAATGTGCGTAATTGCTTAATGATAGTCAGTTCTGGATCTATCGTGTGTCTTACTGTGACAGGAGATAATCTGCAACCGAAAAAAGAAGTAACGCAAGCAGATAAATTAGTGTTTCCATCTACTAGCCTCCGTTTGCTCGTATCGACGAGTAGATTGTGGTGTTGTAGGAGGTCTATATCAATGATTGGCATAGAAACATCTGCAACTACGAAGGTACAGTGAATGGGTTTGCGTAAACCCACGTTAAGGTAGACGTACCTTTTACCATATGTGGCAATTGGCTTTCCGTTAGCCACCTGTAAGTTTAAAATCGATTCGTGAAGCCATCGTTAGAATTTGCTGGAAGAACGCTAACTTCTGAGTCAGTATCGACGAGGTAGCGAACTTTCGTTGTCACGCCTGTGACGTATAACAGACGACTGTGTTTGCTGGCTACGGATGCCGTTAACGCATGTCCGCTGGGAAGTTTCCCGAATTGTTTTTTGTGTCGATTGACTTTGAGTTCGGAAAGTTGCTGGGTTTTCTACAATTTCTAGAAGAGTTTTCGTACTGATTAGGATGACTGTACCATTCGGAGTTATCGGTCTTTCGTGGTCGACAGACGGATCGCTCATGTGAAGTACTTCTTCGCGGGGCATGTGACTGTTTACTGTCATTACGAAATCGAAGGTATCGGGTCAGCGTATGACCTAGTTCCGTAATGTGATTCTGTGTCACCTGAGGCTTTTCTTTGACTGAAAACCTCGGCGTTAGAAGATTTGGTGATTTCTAAGATGCGGTCGGCAGATGCAGATGTATAAACAGGCCATCATCGAAAGTCCTCTGGCTAATAATCCCCCTCTTTCATAGTAAGACGTCTGTCGCAGAACCATGTTGCAGGTCGATATTAATAAAGGGTTGGTCTACCCTTTGTTGATCGGCTAGATCTCCGCGTTTAAGGATCGATCGCTTAAGCATTTCATGAAGTTCCAAAAAATTACTAGTAAATACATTAGGTGTTACGCAACCGTAAAATCCACGCGGAAGTGCCTTGACTACTGCAAGGAATCGCGCACATGTGTCGTTCAAGCAGTGCTCGTAGAAGCCGGCATCTGCGTAGCAGACTTTGATGTTGTTCGGCCAGATTGGCAATAATTGAATGGAAGACGGGTCCATAGTCTTCAAGTTAGGTACCTTAGGTGTCTGTTCCGTCATGGTGAAATATCAAGTGCAAGAATGGACGAGGGAAAAATATATCACAATATATAAAAATTAAAATAAAGCAATGACATGTAAAATTTCAAAAAGGAACATACAGTTTGCAAGTTAGTGTACCAGATCACGTCGGGCTCACCAATGAAGATGCCACAGGTACTTGGAGTTTGAAAACGCTTGAACTAATAACACCTCCTACTATCCTGGACGTGAACGGTTGACGCATCACTATCTATCGCTACTAGTTTTTTGCATACGTAAGTACCCAGGGATGAGTGTTAGGTCTTAGTAGTCTTGGCAAGTATCCTATCGGAAATATCAAAGGAAATTCATCTTTTGCGCCGAAGTGTGAAGTCCGCTCTCTCTCTTTACAACGCTATACAACAGTTTCTAGGGTTAATGGAGTTGCATTGATTCATGGCCAAATAATCCATCAAGCTGAATGTTTGCCTGAATTTGAAAACCGAAAGCTGGAAATTGATGAAGGTCGATAAAGTTGAACACGATACTGAACATCGATTAGCATGGTTTGCACCACCTTAAGTATGTCAATTTCCTAGTAAGCTTTCGTCCGTAAGATATAAAATCTTGCTTTCTATGTGTATATTATCACGTTTGTGAATGTACTCAGGTACATGCATCTTATGTGGCAACAGTTCTTCGTCACTCCTTCCATATTACGCTGTTTGACTCTTAATATCCAGGGACATCACTTTCATTATTTATTTCGGTCAAAATCATTAGTGTAGCACTCAGGCTGGTGTCGTTTGTCTCTTACGAAACCGATAATACAGTGTTTAATTCTAAGCCTTTTACAAACAAACCCAAAATTTCATGCACACAGTTCCCTTTATCACTTTGAAAGGAGCGAGGACAAAAAGTTTAGCAGAATAGCATGAATTCATTTTATTTCGTTGGTTTTCGTCATCTGCTTGTAACTTGTGATATTTCAGACCATAATTACAAAATTGATCTAAATTACTTACTCAAAACACAAATATAGAAGAGGGTAGAGAGGTCTTAATCGTGTGTCTAAGAGAGAGTCGATAATCTCCTTCTAAGACAATAACATCATCGACAAAGTGATTATTTACTTTTTTACATGAGGTAGGTATTACGTTTACTGCTTTTTATAGTGAGCGGTAGAAGGTTTGCTAGTACAAATTAAGATCTCGCACTACATTTATTTCAGGCATCGGGTAATAAATCTACTACAACCACCTTAAAGTCTTTTACATACCTACTTAAGGAGGAGTTTTGAAAGAACATCCAAACAGATAGCATCGCTTGAACATAAAGCTCTCACAGTTATTTAACGAAATTCCTGCAGTGAAGTCTAAGACACTTGAAGTCGCTTAACGTTTGAAGAATATAAACTCTCTGACATATAACATTTTAAACAGTTTATCAAAATATTTTCCTAGCACTCATTTTTTCTTGGCTTTCGGTCCCAATAGTTTCATTAACTACATTTGTTTATTACTCAAAATGTATATTTCACTTTATTCGGCGTCATATTCTGGCGGCTTTAATATTAGTTTACCGTCTTTTGATTCCTTGTTTGAATTGAACAACTTGGTTTACCTTTCTCAGACGATAGTAGGTTTCCTATCGAAAAAAGCCTATTATTGTTCCAAGTATAAGTATTTACGATTCTTCAAAATTTTCACTCAGTATGTTGTGGTTTTAGGTATGCTGCTTTGAGTAAAATAAACTGGTTCATCAATTGAAAATAAAAATACATTCTTTGATTATCATAAACACATTAATTCTTTGCCACATACTATTAACGTTTAACATAACTGATGTCTTTTAATTTGATTGTAATCAATCTTATAGATGTAAGTTTGTTAAATTGACTTACGGATAGTATAACTGAATAGGATGAGCTGGACAATGTGGACATCAAATAAATAGCTTGCCCATATGGAGGGTTATCGAAAAGCGTTGATTGTTGTTAGTGTATCTCTAACTAGCTAAGCTGAGCAAAACTAAATGGGTTAAAACTAATTATTGACTACAGATTAAACTATGAACATAGAAAGTGATTTTTCTTCATGGAATGAAAACTTTTGTTTTCATCTGCCGAGTGACTCCCGTTAACTGAAAACGTATTGCATTTGATGCTTGCTTTATGGTCAGAAGTAGTCAACTGTACTATTTTGATTAAACGTTCAAATTTGTCGCCACCATTTGCTAGTATTTACCTGTTATACTGGCACTTGTCCGATATATTTCCGTAAATCGATTTTCTTCTTCCTGCCATACTAATATCCTTTATCCTTAATTTTTCAGTTTTATTTATATCTTAAAACCTCCCAAACTGCCTTTAAACTAAACGGGAGTTCCCCATATTTATTTAAGTCACTGTGCTCAGAAAAAGTCAGTTACAGAAATATCGTGTCGTGCAGCTGAATATGTGCTATACTAAACAAAAATATTGTCCGTTTACAAGCAAGAATTGAAAAAATATTAACTTATAATAAAAATGTTTAATTTAGGCTCTTAAACAGACGGTAAAAGATGATATTTTATATTTATATCTCAACAGAATAAACGATATAATATTTGTCACTCCAGTTATAGTCGTCCCAAATTCAACAAAATGTTCAAATAATACTGTGGTGGTATTGTCTCCTGGAGACACGAATTTTGAAACTGAACATAGAATTACTGAGATGATTTACATTCAACATGTTACACCTGATCAAAATGGCATAGCTTGATCGTAATATCTTGCTTTTTGTATCAAAAATATTACGCTCTTCTCAGTCCAAATGTGTTTTTCAGAAGTATTAGACGTCATATTACTGATTGTTATATAGGACAAGTCAGTATAGACAATGATATGACTTCCACGTGAGATCTCATAAAGGAAGTAGTTTTATCGTGACAAGTGTAGATTAAATTAGATCTATTATCATAGTAACAAAGATAAATGTACTAATACTGAATTAGACCATAAATCCACAATAAAAATTGAGACTAATAAATGTGCAGATGGAATATATGATTTAGGCGGAGTTTTGTTCTCTCAGCTCGATGGTTTATTCGTGGAGCTGTGCTCGAACAATTCTAAAACATTAATATAGACAATATTGATTAACGACATTGATTCTTACAAAACAATATGGATCGTATTTGGTGTAGATGAGTTCGTTGAGTGTTTAAGTGTTTAATTTAACATTACTATGTTCAACATTTATTTCACCTTTCTTTCACTATTTTGTTCATTTCTCTATATGACTTCATCACTATTGAAACTTATAATTTAGCACATTTTGAGTGTTATTTTACAATAATTTTTTTAATACAAGCAAATTTAACTTACATATAGCCATTCTATGACAATTCAAAGGTAAATAGTTCACTGAAAATGTTCACTCCTTAATACTTAGTCTTTGTTTACAAGTAATCCAATTTCAAGAAAAAATACTGCAGATTACATAGTGTCTTCGAGTTTTAGTACGTGATATTACAATACTTAGTTTTACTCACCTCCTAGATTTATATATATATCTTAAAAGTGTCTTCATAATATTTATCAATATGGTAATCCGCTTGTTTGATAGTTGGCTTTCAAGAAAATTAAGATTTTATATCATCTGATATATTGATGTAAATTTGTTAAACAGTTGAGATGTAAGTTTTTCATTTTACCTATTCAAAAAGGTAACACTATAATAAACTATTTTATAATGTTTAATTGAACCATCGAATAATGGTCTATAGTTCCTTTTAGAAATTGTACAGAAAGATATCATTTACAATCTAACGATCAAACAGAACAATTTTTACTAACTTTAAAAATAGTTAAACAGACATAAATTTACGATTATTATTATTATTATTATTATTATTATTATTATTATTATTATTATTATCTCGAAAATAATCACATAGAGCCCGAGATGACGTCACAAAACTAAAACAATTTCAGTGATTATTGCTTTCATTCCTGTTGATTTTCATTTAATAATTGGAAAGTCATGTTAACAATTCATCATGCATAGCAGTATTTTATAAGTAGAAGCAGTTTTTAATTTACCCTACACGATATATATATATATATATATATATATATATATATATATATATATATATATATATATATAACAAATGACTATACATTTCATACTATATTCAGCCATTTTTTCCATACTCTCAAATTCTCCCTTGTCTGTATCTGTTCTTGTTAATTACAATAAATTCATCTGTTTCATTAATTCCCTGATTCCCATACTCATTTATTCAACCATACATTCAGATAACTAAATCTAATTGTGCTTAGAGTTTTTTTACTTTTATTGTACACGCTCAATATTATAATTATTACCATTAATATCAAAAATATAAACAATAAATTACTGTAAATTAAAGTAAATGAGCTAATAGGAAAGCCTAAAATACTTTTTTTTTTTGCATGTAATTTAAGTAACTTAATAAATTAGTGAAAAAAAGATTGTATTAATTCCATGTATCATCATTCCATTATAATCTATTAGGTAGATCTTCTAACTAAAATCGTGTTTTACAGCATCATATTAAAAAAAAAAGATTGTTTTGAATTAAAAGTGGATTTTAGTAACTTTGTCATCAAGCTGTAATACCATAAATCCCTCATTATAGTATTACAATAGCCGAAATAAGGCATATAGATGAATAAGTAAATCAAACAATGATATATGTTAACTGACTACCTAAAATCATATTCTCAAAAGTTAAGTGAATAATAATATAGATAATCTAATCACGTGTATAAAATATGCAGTAAGAGAAATGTAATCAAGTGAAGAAATTCATGTGAATCGAGAAATATGAACATTCATATTAAGAATGAAATTAGAGAGATAAAAATAAAGAAGATAGGGTAACAGTAATAGTCTATTAAGTGGTTTAGGTATGGGTGACCCAATCATGGGCTACGGTAAATACAGAGGTTGAATATACCTATTTTGAATACAAAAGTTAGGATTTTTAAAATTAGTTCAAGTGGTTTCTACTGTGTAGAGGAGTAGTAGATTTGCTTCTTCTTATATATTGTTTGGGTCTTGATGCAGAACCAAGAAAGCTTGATCTCTTTTGATATAATGTTTGCTATCTGCAAATTGTGAAAGTATGGTGCTCTTGATCAACGTTATGAATAATATTCCAGACCATCCAGGTCTACGTTTCATGAGTACATAAGGATAAGACCCTCTGAGTATAGCCTATGTAGCTAGCTCCTCAAAAGCAGTTAAGTTTGTATTCACACATTTATTGTGCAAGTAATGGTTTATTTGAGAAAGATTTTAAAAATGTGGTGTAAATCATGTTAAGAATACCCATTAATAGTAAGGAATGATTGAGATATGACTTAACAGATATAAAATTTGTAACTGATTAGTAACCTACTTGAAGGAAAGGTGAAAATTCTTCCTTAAGTCTTATATACAGAAGCATTAAATAAAATTAAACAATTTTTTAGTACTTTCAAAATTACAATAGTTTTCTACCTGATACAATCCTATGATAGAAAATATCATGAGATTACGTTCACTTGACCAACAGTATTATCGTCAGAATTAACTAAATAGATTATTTACAGAAGTGAAGTTTGATGACAGTGTTTTGCGCATGATGTTGTGTTTCTTTGTTCACCTTCATCATATTTATGTTCAACTGAATTTCTTTTCATAATTTGGAAACAAGAATTCAGTAAATTTACCTTGATTAACATGAATACAGTATGAAGTTGTTTACAAGCATTTTGCATGATATCGAAATAAATAAATTCTCACGTGAAGCATATATTCTTCGTCTATGACAAAATAAGATTAAAAATAGCAATTGTTTCAAGAAAATTCTTTAGAAAGTGACTATATTTCATAGGTAACCGTTCAATAAACTGTTATAACATCTACTTTTCTTTTAAAAAATAAGCATGTCACTATATTCTTTAGATCGTTTCTTCTTTTCACAAAAATGTAATCACATTTGAAACGGTTGGCCGAGTTAATCACATGGATTCGTTAATTTCTTGTTGTTACGGTGGTAAATTGCATAAGTTGGCCACTAAAGTGTCATAATATATATGTTATTTATCAAGAAAATTATCATAATTACCTACTCTTTGATGGCATTATCTCGTAGTAACTGATATTGGAGCTGTACAAAATTTTGTGAAATCTCGACAAGAAAGCTGCCGACTATCGAATAAATGTATGGAAAGTTGATCAGTCTGAAACAGAGTGAAAAGACTAACATAAAATACAGTTCCTTATATATTTTCAAAATGTAAAAATAAATTTAGCTAATTTATGTCAACGTGAACTATGATTATAAACCACTAACAGTCTGGAATCTACACAAGGGGTTGGAAATAGGTTGCATGTCTGTCTAGCACTCGGTTAGTGATTCTTAAAATACAGTATTTTCATCATAGACGTAGACGCCTTTGTCTCAGTTTTCTACCACTGGAGACTGATCTCCTCGTGTCCCATCATCTTTGAAGCGTGTTAGATTGACATCGATTACCGTCAATGTAACAGATATTTGCGCTCTATCAACAGAGAATAAGATGGAATTTATTTCTTTCATCAATGTTAAAGACCACTTTGACGCTGATATAATGAATTTAAACATGGTAAATGGTATCAAACAAGTGTTTGGATAACTGCAGTGTTAAATACGCATGAAACGATACGCAATAATTTTTAGTTCAAAATATTATTCAATAACCGAATAACTGATCCACTGCGTTTCGTATTAGTCTCACCATCGTACCCCATTTTTAACAGTCTTCAGTATTAAGAATAACTTGATAAGATGTTTCATGGACGATATTCGAACTAATATTTCATATGGAGAAAATAATTTTCAGTTTTAATGCATTCACGTGAAAGAATAAGTGATAATGTTGATTAGTTTTGAGTCCTCTTTTGTCATTGAAGATTTTACCTTAAAAATGAAAAAAATGTTTACAATAGGAATTTGGGTCTTGCAAGATTATGTGGTCGACTCAATGGTTTTTTAATGATTAGATATTTACCATCGAACGGAGTATACAACCATATTCTATGTTCCACCTTGAGGTATGTTAAGAATGAATTTGTATTGGCTTTCTTGTCTCTGATCTCTTTGGTCGCATGACATGGTTATATCAATTTGCATTAAAATTGATAGTATCATGTATAATGCAATCGATAACTTCATTTACGGAAACGTAGACGACACACTCATCCTTTATGACAAAGACACTAATTTTGACTAACTAACTGGTGTTTAATACTGCTGCTCCAGAAACAGAATTTACCTGTGAAATAACTAATAAAAATGGTGTTTTTTATTTCTTGATGTTTTATTATAAAAAAGAACAGGGTATAGTATCAAGTATATGGGCTTTCATAAAATTCATGAAATAGGCAGTAAATTTATTTTGCTTTGATTAGGTTCTTCAGTATAAAAGAATCTCATTTGAAGTTTAATATTTTGAGATAGAAGTATTTTGCGGCTACTACTCTTAAAGAGGCGATAATATCAACGCTCATTACCTTTCATGAAAACATATCCTATAAAGGTTTGTGGTTTTTACTAATAAAAAGGGATTAATAAGCCGTTTAACATTACTGAATAGGTAAATACTACATCTCACGCCTGCCTTTAACGAAATTATAATTATAGAACTAACGACGAATGAATAAGGAATAACTGCAAACAAAATATTCTTTGCATCTACACTACTCATTATTTTTACTAACCCCAGTATACTGCCAATTCATATCAGTGATTATAAATCCTTATCTATATTCTTGATGAACAGTCAAGAACTCAGCAATTACATTTTCAGTTTCTCAATCAGAAAAACACTTTTGTGCTTTACTCATTTTACTCCTCTGCGACTATGTTTAAAGAATTATTATTCTTACCATAACTGTTATTATCATTATTATTTTAAGCAGATAGATGGTGGCTAGTAGGGGAATCCAAGATGTGTTTCGTCCTCTGTGAGACTCGTCAGCTGAATGTATCTAGACTCCATAACTAATGTTCATTCCGGGACTCGAATCCAGTACCCCACGCCTCAAACTCCATCGCGTCATACATACACTTAGCTACCGAGTCCAACTAGCCACTGGCTTGTACAATGGGGTGGAATTAGGTGAGAATAAACTCCATTCTCGTCTGCAATTTCGACCTTATGCATAGCAACTAACCAAAATGAAGCAGAAATAATTATTTACGCTAACTTAATCCATTGTGGAGGGCGTGTTTCGTTCTCTTTTGGTTTTGCTGGTTTACATCAAAAGTGTGATTTTCTGCGATTAAAATACCACTTCATCATGTTACGGACGCGTTAAGTATAGAGCATTCAGTCGAGATGGAAGAAAAATCAAGTTATAGCAAAAGCCACACCTCCAATTAATTCTATGATGGAAACTATCTCAAACTATTTACAATTGAGCCACCAAATAGAAGAAAAGATGACTAATTTCTGACAACGATACACTTAGATGAGTTGACAATGCGGGGTTTATCTCGTGTTCACGCGCAAGATCAGAGGTCTCAAGTTCGAGTTCTGCGTGCAAGGTCATGGATTCACACTGTTGAAGAGTTCCATACTACTACAAAACGGCCGTCCAGTGCTTCCAGGTTGTCAATCGCAGTCTAGTTCAGATTGACTCGTGAGTTCAACTGTTAAAATACTACAATTTCTACAAATTTCCATACTGATAATTTTAACCCAAATAACCATAATATACGAATTATTATTATTATTATTATTATTATTATTATTATTATTATTATTACTGGTGTTATTATCAAGAGATACATTGTTGCTCATAATTATTGTCACCAAATTTATCCCCTAATTCATACAAATGGACGATAATTGTGTTGACCACATCAATCGAAGTGTTTTAAGCAAATACTTATACTTTCAAGTTGTAAGGTTTGATGTGAAATTACCGAAAATACGTATTTGCCTAAATTATTTTTGCAAAATTTAGTAGATTTGATATTCTAAAATATAAAAGAACAACTACTTTCATATTGATCACGATTTGAACACATTTAAAACAATTGATCAGTAACATCATACGGTTATGTAAGTAAAGGACAATTATAGATAATATTAAGTGTATACGATTGAATGTATGAAATTTACAATACAAGAAAATGTCATAAGATTGTGAGTGATAATCAGTGGCGTAGAAATTGTGTAAATGCATTTTGATTAAGAATAAAATAACCCTTTGTAGGTCAAAGGAAACAAAGTGGTTTAGCTCATGAAATAAATCTAATTTAATAGTTGAGTTCATGAGTCAATTAAAGCTAGACCACCAATAAAAACCAAGACGACCGTTTCGTCCTAGTATGGGACCACGTCCGTGGGACTCGAACCTAGGACCTTCGGTTTCACGCGCAAGAGCTTAACCTGCAGACCACTGAGCCGGTATCCAACGTTGTTAATGTTTAACCTCAACCAGTCCACGAAATTGAGCCATTGTCCACCATTGTCTTCATTGAGTCACTATCTCGCAACAGACCCGGTTGAACTCCACTGGTCACGAATTCTCACTAGAACTCCAGGAAATACCTTTTGAAGCTAGTCACTAGAGAGCACACGAAAGTGGCATATGACAGTTGTGGACGGTGGCGCAATTTCGTGGATTGGTTGAAGTTAGACATTAATACCGTCACTAATGCTGTCCAGTGCTTCCAGGTTTTCCATGGTGGTTTAGCTTTAATTGACTCGTGAACTCAACTATTAAATTTGATTTATTTTATCCCCGAAAATTTCACTTGGCATATGAGATGCAAGCAAGTGTCCATCGGTAACTTATTCAGAGCTTCATACAGAACTGAGAACATTTTCTCTATCTTAATACAAGTTATACTACAAACTATATGAAAACTATTGTCTCTGTGTTGTGTGGGCGAGAACGATCGTGATTGGTTGTCTTCTTAGTCAGACATTTAGACAGTCTGACAGGTGTCAGATAAGTCATATATTCCCTTACCCTTATTATTGTGACACACACTTATATACATCTTATTATTGATTGTTCATTGTTGTGGATTGTGTCGGGTTTTTGGGTGTGAAAATATATTACGTTCTGGCCAGGCTGATTACGTGTTCTTGATCTGAGTTGTGTTGAAGTCCTGTAGGACAGACACTGGGAGGGATCTAGTGTAGATAATCGTTAAGCGTTACAACATCAGACAAAGTAATACCGAGCGTTATAACGATCGACGACGGAACGTTATAACACTGTTTGGATAATTAACAGTTGGTTTTCTCAACCGAACAAGTATGTATTCATGAGCAACTAGGTATAAATCCCTCTGACTTTCTCACCTAGTCACCAGCGTGAGTGGCTCTTCGTTTCAACAAGCAGCCCATTACTTACTTACTTACTTACGTCTGTTACTCCCAATGGAGCATAGGCCGCCGACCAGCATTCTCCAACCCACTCTGTCCTGGGCCTTCTTTTCTAGTTCCATCCAATTCTTGTTCATTTTTCTCATATCTATCTCCATTTCCCGGCGTAATGTATTCTTTGGTCTTCCTCTCCTCCTTCGACCTTGAGGATTTCATGTGAGGGCTTGTCTTGTGACGCAGTTGGGTGTTTTCCTCAATGTGTGTCCTATCCACTTCCAGCGTTTCTTCCTGATTTCTTCCTCCACTGGGATCTGATTTGTTCTCTCCCACAGTAGGTTGTTGCTTATAGTGTCCGGCCAGCGGATCTGAAGTATTTTGCGTAGACAACT